ACCCCACCAGTCACAGATGGCCGGGCTAGGCTGGGGGCCACGCCACCGGTCATAGGTGCCTGAGATAGGCTGGGGGCCACCCCACTGGTCACAGATGGCCGGGCTAGGCTGGGGGCCATGCCACTGGCCACAGAAGGCCGGGTTAGGCTGGGGGCCACCCCACTGGTCATAGATGCCTGAGCTAGGCTGGGGGCCACCCCACCGGTCACAGATGCCTGAGATAGGCTGGGGGCCACCCCACTGATCACAGATGGCTGGGCTCGGCTGGGGGCCACGTCACCAGTCACAGATGCCTGAGATAGGCTGGGGGTCACCCCACCGATCATAGATGGCTGGGCTAGGCTGGGGGTCACCCCACTGGTCACAGATGGCTGGGCTAGGCTGGGGGCTACCCCACTGGTCATAGATGCCTGGGATAGGCTGGGGGCCACCCCACTAGTCATAGATGGTGGAGCTAGGCTGGGGGCCACCCCACTGGTCATAGATACCTGGCCTAGGCTGGGGGCCACCCCACCAGTCACAGATGGCTGGGCTAGGCTGGGGGCTACCCCACTGGTCACAGATGGCTGGGCTAGACTCAGGGCCACTCCACTGGTCATAGATGCCTGGGCTAGGCTGGGGGCCACCCCACCGGTCACAGGTGGCTGGGCTAGGCTGGGGGCCACCCCACTGGTCATAGATGTCTGGGCTAGGCTGGGGACCACCCCACTGGTCATAGTTGCCTGGGCTAGGCTGGGGGCCACCTCTCCAGTCACAAATGGCTGGACTATGTTTGTGGCTCCCCGACCAGTCGTCGATGGCTGGGCTAGGCTGGGGGTCATCCCACTAGCCCAAGATTTCTGGTCTAGGCTCAGGTTCACCTTACTAGGCATAGATGGCTCAGTTAGGCTGGGGATGACCTTAGTAGCCATCGATAATTCAGATGTGCTACAGGTGACCTTACTGACCATAAATGGCTGGCCTGGGTTTGGGGCCACCTTACTGACTACCGATGGCTGGGATAGGCTTGAGGTCAGCCTAGTGGCCGCGGATGGCTGCTGATATGTGGTAGGGACCACGTTATCCAAAGACAGACTTCTGGTCAGTCCTGTCCTGTAGGATTTCTGGGACAATCTTTCCTTCAGGTCCATGGAGCTTTGGCCTGAGGTCATATCCCTCTCATCCTGATCATCTGAGCTCCAGTGGACACTCAAGGTCATGCGGCCGGACACTGAGCTGTGGTGCAGAATGGGGATCAGCTCTGAGCCTGCAGAGGGCTGTTCGTAGAGGTTTGGAGTCATATGTCCCCGGCCCGCTTTCTTGGTTTCTTCCCTGTCTCTAGGCCTCTGGGGCCTCCCCACAGCCTCTCCAGAGAGGAGGGTATCTAGATGGATATCCCCATCCAAGCGGGCCTCCCAGGACTCCTGCTCCACCAGTTCGAAGGCAGTTAGACTGGCCACAGACATGGTGGAGAGGCTGAGTGAGCCGCAACTAGGCAGTGAGCTCTGGGAGTTACTCACATTTGGACCATAGTCTATGGAGCCTTGGGAGAGGCTTCCAGCCATGTCATTGTCTGGACCCTGGGGCAAACTGGCTGCCAGTTCATTGAGTATATGGCCAGTCACTCGCTCTGGTGGGCAGCGCGCACTGGAAATGGTGCCCTGGGTTTGATTCCTCTCCTGCCTGGGGACGGCTGTACGGGAAAGGGTGCGTGCAAACCTCCTGCCTGGGGAGGCTGGGAACACACTGGGATCTGCCTGAGTCTTGAGTGCCCAGCGAGGACCAGGAGCCATGGAGCCAGGCAAGAGACCTAGGGTTATGTCACCAGCCTTGGGGTTCTGGGGTTGGGTTAGGGACATTTTGCTCACAGTGGCAGCCCTCAGTGGACCTGGGGTCGCCTTACTGATCCTCTCCCTAGTGTTCATGGAGGCCTGTTTGTGATTTGGGGACTGAGTTTTCTGCATGGTCTCCTCACGGACCACGGGTGGCTGTCGTGGAACTTTGGTGGCTGAGGGTCGGTACCTGCTGGAGGGCACCTTGTTGACCCCGGAGGGCTGACAGCAACAAACAGATCCCCCATAGGCAGCAGCACACTGGTGGGAGTGCAGAGCCCTCCCAGCACCCGCAGTGAGGGGAAGCATACCCGAGGCCACCCGGCCCTCCCCCGACGACGCCCACAGACGTGGGGCCACCCTGCTGACCGCATGTGGCTTATGGGAGCTCGGGGCTCTGCCACCAGCCACCACCGATTGCTGGCTGGTGCTTGGGCCCACACCATTGGCAATGAGTGGCTGCCACAGGCTGGGGGGCAGCTGCAGGTGGGGTGGCTTGGGCAAACTGGGGTCCGTGTCACTCTCCACGGGGTTGAGATCTGATGCCAATTCACTGGCCCCTGGGGGCAGGTACACGTTTTCCTCACTGACCTCAGGGCTCAGATATAGGTCTGAGGAGGAGCCCCTGCTGGACTCCATCTCCCATGATAGACTGGGGTCCAGGGCAGCGATCAGGGGATACTGATGAATGGCGGTGATCACTCTACTAGCCAGGGAAGCACCCATAGAGACCACCGGCAAGCAGGGTGACCCCCCGAGCATGGCCCCATCCCCCATCTCTTCCAAGAACCTGGCAGGCCAGCCTGTGGAGAAGCCCTCCCAGGCCCCGTCCTGGGGAACCCTAACCTTGCTGGGCTGTGGTCTCACGGGGCCTAGGGCGGGCCCCCATGCAGTCGATGGGATCCCCCTGTGGTCCACCTCCACCGGGGCTGGGATCACAGTCATCCTGTTTCCTGCTGTTTTCGAGGCGGCCTTGGGGAGGACAACGCCAGTCCTCAGGGCCGCCTGAGACAAAGACTGGCTCAGGACAGCGCCCAGCTCCCCCTGACACAGGGCCTGGCTCAGAGCAGCCCACTCCTCCTCTGTCAGGGCCTTGCTGAGCACGTCCGCCAGTTTACCCTGCTTGGCCTTGGTGAGTTCTGCCCGCAGCTCGCCGGGGGACAGGGTGCGGGACAGCGCAAGGCCCAGCTCGCCCCAGGATAGCACTTTCATCAGCGCTGTGCCCAGCATGCCCTGGGGCAGGGCCTTGGCCATCGTGGAGCCCAGGACTCTCTTGGACAGGGCCTGGTTCAGGGCTGCCTTCACTTGGCCCTGGGAGAGGGCTTTTACCAGTAGGGCACGGAGGTCCTCCTGGGAGCCCAGCTCGGCAGCCAGCTCAATGCCTAGGGAGGCGAGCTGGGAGGCAGTCAGCTCTTCTGGGCAGGGTGTGGCCGGGCTGGGCATCGGTGACTGGGCCCGGGTAGCCCCACTGTCACCCCAGGATTCAATGTTACATGTGGGGTGTCCGGCAGAGGCCAGCAGAGGCACCAGCATGCTCCGGGTCTCGGAGGCCCCCTGGCGTGGGCCCGGGGTGGCTTTGCCCTGCACATAACTGTGGGGTTGGATCTGAGTCAGTCTGTCCTCTGGCTTGGCTCGGGGCGGAGTGCCAAGGGCACCAACGTGCTGGCAGGGCTGGGTGGAGGCCTTGAACCCGGCCAGGAGTGGCTGCGACTGGGTCTTGCCGCTGAGCTCAGCAGCTTGGTGGGCCGTGTGGAGGCACTTGGCGGTTTCTGGGACCAGCTGGGCCTGGGACTGCACCTTGGTCAGCCCGATGGGCAGATGTGCTTGAGACTGGACCTTTATCACCCCTGTGGCCAGATGTGCTTGGGACTGTGCCTTGGTCAGACACGTGCCCAGATGTGCGAAGGACGGGGCCTTGGTCAGCTTGGCAGGTGGATGTGCCTGGGACAGGGCCTTGGACAGACACGTGCCCAGATGGGTCTGAGCCTGAGTTGTGGTCAGCCTGGCGTGTGGATGTGCCTGGGGCAGGGTCTTAGACAGACATGTGCCCAGATGGGCCTGGGGCAGAACCGCAGTCAGTTCGGCAAGCAGCTGTCCCTGGGACGAGGCTGTGGTCGAACAGGTGGCCAGCCGTTCTTGGGGCAGGGCCTTGGCCAGACATGTATCCAGATGTGTCTGGGGCATGGCCTTCGCCGGACATGTGGCCAGCTGGGCCCGGGGCAGGACCATGGCTGTTTCTACAGGCGCATACACCTGGGACTGAACCTTCACATCTGCCCTCAGATGTGTCTGTAATGAGGACTTGTTCCTGTCCTCAGCCATTTTCACCCAGGGTGAAGCCCGGGGCATTTCAATGGCCACACTGGTACTAGACACCGTTTCTGTTTTCACCTCCTTCTGGGAGAAGACCTTCATTTTTTCAGCTTCCAAAGGAGGCTTGGCTGGAGCCTTGGGGGCCCCAGCTCCCAGATGTGGTGAGTTAAAGTATTTGATCTTTCCCTCAGCCAAGTATGAGTGAGAAGAGACCCTGACCATCCCTGCTGTCTGCTTGGTGTTCACCACAGCCTTGGCCTTAGGTTCGTTCAGACACGTGTGGGATGAGGCGTTGGGAATTCCAGCTGCCACAGCTACTGGAGGTGAAGACTTCAGATTTCCACCTGCTGAAGGTGGCAGGCATAGGGTCCTGAGAATGGCGGCCATTGAGCGAAATTGGGCTGGGGTTTTGGTGACCATGGCTGCCAGACGCGTCTGGGGAGGGGTCTTGGTCACTGAGGCCCCGGGGAGCGTCTGAGATGGAGTCTTGGCCATGGCAGCTGCTGGACACGTCTGCAGCGGGGTCTTGGTCATCGGGGCTACCGGGCGCATCTGGGTTGGAGTCTTGGTCATGGCGGGCACTGGGCACGTTTGGGGTGGAGCCTTGGTCATTGTGGCCACAGGCCGTGTCTGAGTTTGGGGCTTAATCATCGAGGCCAAAAGGCATATCTGCGGCGAGATCTTGGCCATGATGGCTGCCGGTCGTGTCTGGGGAGAAGTGTTGGTCATTGAGGCTGTTGGTCGCATCTGGGTTGGGGTCTTGGACATCGGGGCTGCTGGGCATGGCTGTGGTGGGGTCTTATTCACCAGGGCCGCCAGGCATGACTGAAGTGGGGTCTTGGTCATGGCGGCTGGCTGGGACGTCTGGGGTGAAGTCTTGGTCATTGTAGCCACTGGGCATGTCTGGGGTGGGCTCCTGGCCATTGGGGCTACCTGGTATGTCTGGGGTGGGGCCTTGGTTATTGTTACCGTGGGCGCTGAGCATGGCTGGGGTGGGGTCTTGTTCATCATGGCTGCCAGGCATGACTGGAGTGGAGTCTTGGTAATCGCGACTGCAGGGTACGTCTGGGGTGGGGTCTTGGTCATGGCAGCCGCTGGGTACATCTGGGTTAGGGTCCTGGTCATCCTGGCCACTGGGTATACCTGGGGTGGGGTCTTGGCTAGTGTTACTGTGGGCACGAGGCATGGCTGGGGTGGGGTCTTGGGCATTGCGGCCACTGGATACATCTGGGGTGGGGTCTTTATCGCAAATGCTGGGCCTGTCTGGAGTGGGGCTTTTAGGACCTCTGTTTCCACGTGGGTCTGGGCCTGGGTCTTGAGTGATCCGTGAACTGCCTGGGCACACCTTCCACATGGGAGTGGCCCTGGGGCTCCTGCCTTGCTGGCTCTGGTAATTACTTGCTTGGTCTTCACCGTGTCCCCTTCAACGTGGACAAGGCAGGGATTTCTGACAGTTCTTGTCAGCAGGCATGGGTGGCACTTTGCATCTAGACTTGCCGGACATGGAAGTCTCATGGCAACGGTCTGGTGTGGCAGGAAGGTGATGCCAGGGTCCCCAGCGGTGCAAGGTGGAGCAAGCTGGGCCTGCAGGAAGGCCAGCTGGTGGGTGCAGGCAGCCAGGGTGTCGGAGGAGGGGAACTGGGTCTCTTTGCTCACCATGACAGGCAGGGCCACAGGGGGTTTGCTCTCTTCTGGATGCTGGAACCGCACCTGCTGGGGGGCATGGTAAGGGATGTCGCCCTCCTCCATGCTCACTTTTTTTTCCACCAACTTGCCAGACCGGAGGAGACGCCTGGTGTTGAAGCGTCGCCAGGCCTCCTGGATGGCCTTTGCTGCCATCATCTGGGAGATCAGCTTTTGCCGGAGCCGGTAGCCCCTCCAGTTGGCTTGGATGAGGGTGGCTGCACGGGAGAGCATCATGTCCATCTCATCCACCAGGACGTTCTTGAAGGCCTGGCTCTCGACCACAGCCCGCAGGCGTGGGATGTGACGAGGCACCATCTTGTCCTTGTCATGCCGTTGCAGAAGGGTCTCCCTGGACGCCAGTGGCTTGTGCTGAGGCTGTGGACTCAGTGTCCCTGCTTTGTCTTGGAGATTGGAGACAGACTGGGGCTGGTAGAGGCTCTGCCCATCGGGTGACAACTGTAACTGTGTTGCTTCCTGCATTGTCTTGGTTCCTGGGCGGGTCAGCTCTGCCTGTGGAGGGTGACAGGGAGGTAGACAGAGTGGGATCATACAGACAAGAGGTCTCCTGGCTGGAGCGAGCCCTCCGGGACCTACAGCTTCTCGTTCCTGACACCTTGCAATCTTCCTCCTCTCCTTTGCAGGCCCTCCCTCTCCCAGCCACCTGCCCCGGTGGCCTTTGGTACCTACGTCTCCCTCATGATCCTGTGGTCACTTCAACACTGGCAATAATGCACATTCTCAGCTGAATGCCAACCATCTTCTTGCTTTTTGAATTTCCTTTATATCTGGAGCACACTGTGAATCGCACTGATCACACTGTTTCGGAAATTTCCTATTTGTCTCTCTGTGTGTGTGTATGTGTGTATGTGTGCGTATGTGTGTTGTTATTATTTGCCTCTCTCTATTTACTGTGAATTCCTAGAGGGCAGGAATCAGCTCTGCGTCATTTCTGTGTCCCCATCTCAGTCATAGGGCCTGGTTCCGGGCTGTTCGGTGGGTGGCTAGCTTCATAAATGAGTGGCTGAGTGGATTGGAAGTTGGGTAGATAGATGGATGAATGACTAGATACTGAATGGTTAAATCTGGATAAATGAATGGTGGATGGGTTGGAAAGATGGATGACGGGTTGTGTGGAAGAATAAGTAGGTAAATGAAGTTGATGAATGAATTGATGAACAGATCAATAAATAAGGAAATGGATACATGGGTGGATGGACGGATGGATGGATGAGTGGGTAAATGAATGAATGAGTGGATGGATGCGTAGGAGGGAGGGGTAAAGGAGGGAGGAATGGATGGATGGACAGACGAGCGAGTAGAGGAGGGATGAGATCTGAGTAGATAAAGGAGTGCGTGAATGGAGAGAGCTGAAGGAATTGGTGAAGAGATCAATGAATAAGAGGTAGACTGATGAACGGCTAGATGGATCAGTGGCATAGGTGATGGATGACTGATAGATGATGGGTAGATCACTGGCAGATGGGTGGGTAGAAGAATGAGGGGGTGACTGTGGTTTCCAGAAGCACCTTGGTTCAGTGGGAACGGGGATACTGCTAAGTAGCCCTGATATGTCACCTGGAGCATAACACGCTTGTTGGGCAGAAGCCCACCCCACCCTCTTTCTGGCCGAAACAGCCGATTCCCTTCCCAGACATCTTCATACCTTGGAGGGCCATAGAGTTGGAGGAGGAGCAGGAGGAGAAGGTGCAATCTCAGAGGCCAGCTTGCAAGAGGAAGCAGCCTTCATTCAGCCCTTCATCCCATGCAACGTGCAGCAACACTGCCCTGGGCTGGCTCTGTCCTCAAGACAAATGTGAGAAGAGATGTTAAAAGAGAAACAAAAACAAAAACAAAAAACCCTGACATCTCAAAACAAAAACCAAAACCTTTTAAGTCCACAAAGATGAATGTACAAAGAAGTTTATACCAGTGTTCTTTTCTATGTAAAAGCAAAACAACTAGAAATAACCAAAAAGGTGATTGCTAAGGGGTCAGTTAAAAGTGCAAAAAGGAGGATGTTCAAAGATGTTCATCACTGTATTGTTTTTTGTTTTTTTTAAGATTTTATTTATTTATTTGACAGAGAGAGAGAGACAGCGAGAGAGGGAACACAAGCAGGGGGAGTGGGAGAGGGAGAAGCAGGCTCCCCGCCGAGCAGGGAGCCCGACGTGGGGCTCGATCCCAGGGCCCCGGGATCATGACCCAAGCCGAAGGCAGACGCTTAACAACTGAGCCACCCAGGCGCCCCATCACTGTATTGTTTATGAAGAGTAAAAACTGAAAACAACTCGGGGCACCTGGGTGGCTCAGTCGGTTAAGTGTCTGCCTTCAGCTCAGGTCATGATCCCAGGGTCCTGGGATCAAGCCCTGCATCAGGCTTCTGCTCGGCAGGGAAGCCTGCTTCCCCCTCTCCCACCCCCCCTACTTGTGTTCCCTCTCTCGCTGTGTCTCTCTGTCAAATAAATAAATAAAATGTTAAAAAAAAAACACTGAGAACAACTCAAATGCTTATCCACAGGAGGTGGCTTAAATTAAACAGAATATTCATACAGTGGTAATGGTGTCCAGATCCACAAAAATGGTTAAAATTGAAAAGATGGACACATTATGACCAACTGGGGAAATTGTTAGTGTCTTGAAGGCAACTTGTCAATTCCACCCTGATATTTACATTCAAGAGGTACAAGTGTTCATATTCACCCAAACCAGAAACCATCCAAATGCCCATTGACGGAAGACTTAAATTCAACCATATCAGTAACTGACAGGATAATAGACTAAAAACTTTAAGACAAAGATGATCAAAATAGATTCGTTTTCAAAGACCCATGTGTCGCCTCCTTTGAATTCTAGCTTCACCTATGTGATGGCCTGAATGTCCTGCCCCTGCCCAGTCTTCACCCCAACCCCAAAATGGGCTGGGTTCATTCAGAACAAGCATCAGTGTGAACTGGATCATAACAACAAATGGGCCTGAGGCTGGTTCTCCTGGAGGTGGGCAGAGTCATTGTCCCCATGTCACAGAGGAGGAACCTGAGGCCCAGAGAAGCCAACATACCATATTTCTTACTTCTTTAAGTTATTTCTGATTTACCTCCCTCACTGAACTATGAGCTGCCCATGGGTAGAGATGTCCGTCTCTTTTGTTTGCTGTTGAATCCCCAATGCCTAGAACAGGACACACAATAGGTGCTCAATAGATGTTTATGCATGGATGGATGGATGGATAGATGGATGAGTGGATGCAGTGGATGGATGGATGGATGAGTGGATGGATAGATAGATGGATGAGTGGATGGAGTGGATGGAAGGATGGATGGATGGATGAGTGGATGGATGGA